GGGGGGGGGAGAAGGGGCGGTGGTGGCTCCTCTTAACACTCCCGCAGAGGCCTCTGTCCTTCCCTGGCCCCCTGCACGCAACATTCGAGGAAAACTGGGATGAAAATGGACCTGGAAAACTCGGCTTGGCCTTTTCATTTCTCTCTTAACCCTTTCCCCATGTGTGGGCCGGGTGTGGATGAGGAGGAGCGGCCACGACTGTGGGATTCGGCTTCCTCCCCGCCGGCTCCCCTCCCTCCGAATGGCTCCCCTCCCTCCAAATGGCTCCCCTCCCTCCCAATGGCTCCACGACACGCTGAGCTTCAGGGCGTGAGTGAGTGTGGCACGTGCGTGTCAGAGGGGGCTTGAGTCTCCGCGGAGCTGGTTAGAATATGGGGTCCCAGCCCGGGACCCAGCTTCAGTCGGCCTGGTGGAGGGGGCTGGGTGAGGGTAGTTTAGAAGCCGAGTCCAATGAGCCTCTCTCCCTAGACCCTGGGGCCGGGAGCAGTGAAGTGCTGCCGCCCCTCCTGCTGCTCGTAGGTGGCCGAGAGCCGTGGACAATCCCTTGGCCTCCAGCCCCCACGGACCCTTCCTCCTGCCCCTTCCTCCTGGTTCCAGAGCTCCACATGTCACGTGGGATCTGGTGGCCCTGCTGACAATCAGCTTGGTTCCCCGCACAGCAATCAGGAACACACCGCGGGGCTCAGGTGGCGCGTGGTGTGTCACACCCGGCTCTTGATTTCTGCATAAAAACCCAGGCCCGGGCCGCACTGTTCTCTGGCGGCTGCAGAGACAGCTGTGTTTTGGAGCCAAAGGAGGCAAACTGCTGGCTGCGGGGCTTCTCTGGACCCTGGGGTCCCCATCCATCGCCACTGAGCCCCTGGCATGGGCAGGAGACCAGACTCACCCTGGGCACCTTCTGGGCTGAGAGCAGGAGCTCCCGCCCTGGTGGCTCCAGCCATTCCTGCCTGGTCCACGGGGATGGGGGGATGGGAGGGCCTGGCCCACGGGGATGGGGGGATGGGAGGGCAGAGAGCGCCTTCCACTGAAGGCCAGGGGTGGGGTGGGACCTCGTGGAGAAGACGGGCTCTGAGCAGGGCCTGGAGGGACAGTGGGATGTTAGGAGTGGAGGGGATTTTGGAGGAAGGAGCCGTCAGAGTAAAGGCTGGGGATTCATGGCACCTGCTTTGGGGTAAGAGGGAGGCTGACGCATGGAAGAGACCCCGGAAAACGGCAGCCTGTCCGCTGGGAGCCAGCTCTGCGGTCCCTGGGAGGGCGAGCCGGGCCTGGTCGCCGGTGGTAGGGACGTGGGTGGACACATCCTTCACCTGGCTTCTGGCCTGGCTCTCTTCACCTGCCCAGACAGACTCTTTAATGAGTGCTTCTGAAGGAAGTGCCTGCGTTAGGTTGATCAGCCAGGGCATTGAATTCGGGGTCCAGACTTCATTGGGGGCTGATACTTATTTCTCATTTCCCCCACTTTCCCCATTAGCCGCTTCCAAAGCCTTGAAGTCCTTTTCTGTTTCCACGCATTGCGGTTCCCTCCGCCTGCGGCGCCCCGTCTTCCTCCTCCCGCCGTTCTCTCTCCCGGTTCGGTGGGTGTGACCTCCTGGGCTCAGCTGCTCCCACAGCCTCAGTTAGTTCCTGGGGTACAGCCCATAGGTTATATTCTCCTTTTGCTTATGGGGCTCCTGCACTAACCCTGAGCTCCCTGAGGGCAGGGGCCGGGCACCAAGTAGCCCCGTAGCCGCGGCTGGCGGAGCACAGGACCCCTGGCGGTGCCTCCCGGCTTGGGCACTGCCTGCTGGGCTTGGATCCTGGGTGTGGTTTGGAGAAAGGAGCCACGGAAAATGGGCTGAGGCGGCCCTGGCAGAGGCAGGAGCTGGGGCTTCTGGGGCAGGTTTTGTGCCTGCAGGGGCCCCTCCAGCCCCCGGGGAACCTGGCCGTCTATTTTTGGGCCAGGAATAGCCCTGCCATTTTATTTTTTTAAAATATATTTTTATTGATTTCAGAGAGGAAGGGAGAGGGAAAGAGAGAGAGAGAGATACAAACATCAATGATGAGAGAGAATCATGGATTGGCTGCCTCCTGCATGCCCCCTCCTGGGGATCGAGCCCACAACCCGGGCATGTGCCCTGACCAGGAAGTGAACCATGACCTCCTGGTTCATAGGTGGACACTGAACCACAGAGCCACACCGGTGGGCGTGGCTGTTTGGTTTTTGCAGAGCGCTTAGGGTTTTATTTTCTTAGACTTGCCTTGATGTAGCATTTACCTTTTCTTTCTTTCTTTTTTTTTTTTGCAGGCTGGTCGACGATCGCTGTGTTGTGCAGCCGGAAACTGGAGACCTAAACAATCCGCCCAAGAAGTTCAGAGGTAAGGCGGCCACCTCCCTGGAGAGGGCGGCTTCCTCCCTGGAAAATTCATGAAGCGGCCACGGTGTGTGTGTTTTTTAAAGCGGTTGTGGGTTTATTTACTTACGTATATTTTTAAAAGTCGGGTTTCCATCCAGAGCCTCTGGACCTCTTGAGGGCGAGGTCTCCACCCGCCCTGCGTGCCCGTGGGAGGGCGCCGGTTCAGGTTGAGGCCTCACCTGCGTGCGGCCGGCCCCGCCAGGCGGCTGCTCCCGTATTGGTCACAGGAAGCGTGTGACTGGGGCAGACCTTGCTGCCGGAGGGGCTGAGGGTGGGGGGCTCCGGTGCCCTTCGACCCCCAGCCTGGGCGAGGCGTTCTGGAGGGACAGGCGGGCGCTCTGCTGGCGCCGGCTCTCCGTCAGGCCTCCTGATCTGGTGTCCTCGGGAGGCGGCTTCACGCGTCCCACGAGGGTGAGAGAGAGCTGGTGCCGTAGCTGGTAGAAAACATCGCGTCTGTCTTCGAGGTGGTCGGGGAGGCTCGGCTCTGGCTTCGAGGTTTTGATCAGGGAGCGCCGTCGGGCAGGTGCTGGGGCCCGGCTGCAGCCTAGTCAGTGACAGGGGGTGGGTACCCCAGCACCAGCTTTTCAAGGCTCCCCGAGTGGCTCAGGGTGAGGTGTGGGCGGGCTCGGTGCCTGACGAGTGGCCTCAGTCCCACCGGGCTCACGCCTTGCCGTTTGCACAATGTATCATTTGCGCTAGACGTTCTTGTCAGGTGACTTAGAAACTGATGTTTCTGAGTCGAAGCTAAAGAAATTTGGATAAAATGGGAAGCAGGCGTTCAGGGGCAGAGAGGCTGGTGTTGGCTGCGTCCGTGGGCACGAGGCTGTCGGCACGTCTTCCCCTGGGGGCTGGTTGGAACAGAGAAGGAGTGACAGGCCGGGTGACAGGACCCTCCGCTGCCTCCAGCCTCCTCCGTGTCTTCGTCCAGAGCCCGCTCCCGAACGCAGCGGAAGTGAGAGAGTGGAGCTGCCGCTCCTAGTCCTGCCAGCGACACAGCTCTCCCCGCTCTGAGGGGCAGGCGTGCCTCAGTTTACCTTTAACAGGCCGAGACCGGTGGCCTCGGAGCCACTGTTAGCGCATGGAGCCGCTGTCCACCTTGTGAGGGGACAGGAACCCGCCCAGGCGGAGTCAGGCAGCCTGTCCGGGGTCACACAGCTGGCGGAGGGTGAGGCATCACCCGCGACTTTCAGAGCTGCCGGGTCTGAGTCCCACCCCAGGGAGTGTGATGTGGGTGGCCCAGGGCGCCTGTGTGCGAGCCACTGGGGAGCCGCCTGCCGTCTTTGGGGTGTGCTGCTGCGTCCCTCCTTTTCTTGACAAGTTATTCCCTAAATTGGATTGGGGGCCCTCACGGCCTGTGTTTAGGAGAATGGGAGCCAGAGGCCTGTTCATGCAAAGCTCCCTGTGGCTCCGACCTGGGTGTGTACCTTTGCAGGCCCCTCCTAACACCCTGCTCCCCATTTGCTCGATAACCTCGGCCCCAGGACCAGGCTTCCTGGGGTCCAGTCCGAGTCCCACTCAGTCTTAGCCGTGTGACACGTGACTTATTGCCCAGCCTCCCTGACCCTGGGTTTTCTCATCTGTGAAATGGGAGGCTGGCCCCTGGTGAGGGCTCAGGATGCCTGGCTGTTCTTCTCCTTTCGTTTCCAGGCCCTGGTACGGAGCCTGGTAGCCCTCGGGCAAGGAGCTGCGTGTGACTGCTTAGCGATACGAGAGTAACTGTGTGTCGTTTCTCTTTTTGACTTTAGATGCTTTCCTGGGTGGGGGTGTGCACCTGGGCCCCAGGGGCCTCGATTGGAGGCCCACTGTTTCCATACACAGGCCGGGGACTCGAGGGATGACTTCATTTCTCTGAGGTTCTTTCCTCGCCTGTAAGCTGGGGAGAGCAGCTCCTTCCCTATAGAGGGAACAGGTTGCAGGCAGTACAGGTAAAGAGCCAGCGTGCTTGGTCCACGAGACTTGCCCAGTGACTGGGGTAGCTGTTCGTTTTCCTAATAGATGCAGTTGCTTGTTTCTGGTAAAAGCACATTTCTAAGGAATTGCTTTTATTTTTATTTTTTGCAATTCCCTTGGCTGTGTCGCCTGCCCCTCACTGCATGTGTAGAAGAAGGGATTGGCCGCACGCCTGTTTCTCGTCCGCCAAGGCTTCTGCGTCACCGATGCAGCTCGGAGTGTTTCTGTCCCGGGGGGAGGAGAAGCGCAGAGGTGCGGAAGGATTCGGGTCCCTGAGTCCTGGGGTTGCGGTGGCACTTTCGGGGTCCCCGGCCTACGGAAGGTGAGGCAGGGTCTCTCTCCTCCCTGATTGGTGTTGGCTTTGCCCAAGTCCCGAAAGAGCAGGGAAGGCAGACATCTGGTCGAAACCAGGAATAGAAACTCTGTGGTTAGTGAATTCCTTTCTCTGTGGGATCTTTCCCCGTCCCCTCTCCTGCCCCTCCCCCCACAGTGACATCTTCTGCGAAGGGAAGAGGGAGCCTGGGCAGCCAGTCCCCTTCCTGGTCCCAGGACCCTGCTGCTTTCTTTACTTTTCTTTTTAAAAAATGTCTTCATTGACCTCGGAGAGGAAGGGAGAGAGAGTGAGCGATAGAAATATCAATGGTGAGAAAGAATCATCGATTGGCTGCCTCCTGCACACCCCACACCGGGGATCGAACCTGCAACCCGGGCATGTGCCCTTGACCAGGAATCGAACCGTGATCTCCTGGTTCATAGGTTGATGCTCAACCCCTGAGCCACGCCGGCCGCTGGCCCCTGCTGTTTTCACCCTGACCTCAGGGCTGTGGAGCAGCGACAGGACTGGGGCTCTCGTGTGGCTCATGCTGCCTACGTGTGGTCCCCTCTTCCGGATCGGATCGTCTCCCTTCGGTTCAAGGGGCTGACCTTGGCCCCTAATTCTTCCTCTTGTCCCAGGAGCTGCCATATCCATGTCCCCGCGTCAGAGAGGTTTCAGCCTGTGGGAAGGTCTTCGTTCAGGAGAGCAGCTGTTTGAGGGAAACTCAGTCTGCGACGGGGGGAGGGGGGCCGGTGAGGAGGGAGGGGTGCTGTGATACGGTCAGGGGTCTCTGTGCACTGGGAAGAGGCGGAGCGTGTTCTAGACAAGTCTCTCCCGTGTCCCCCGTTTCTCCTTTCTCCCCCATCAGCTTGGTTCCCGCACAGCAATCAGGAAGCGAATATGAAAATGCATGTGCAGTTCAGGAGGCTTCGAGGCCCTGCTCTGCCGCGGGCCGCAGCCTCGGTGATGGGGCGGGGACGGCCCGAGGCGGTAAACACGGTCCTCTTGCTTTCAGGAGTCTTAGGGCTCCGTGGAGACACAGACTCACATCCTGAATAACAGGAGGCAACATGAATAAAGCATTTACTTTGTGCAGAGCATGTATGGCTTTTCTCTCTTCACCCACGTCCCCCACCCGCGAGGGGTAGGCATCGTGCCCCACTATGCAGGCCAGCGTCCCTCCACGGACCTCTCCGGCCCCTCTGTGCTCTTGGTGACGTGGCAGCTTTGTGGGGGGACTCGAAGAAGAAGGGCCCTCTTTCTAACCTAGTGAGAGTATTTCAGTGTCGCCCCGCTTCCCTGGTCACCGTCGGCGTGGAGTCAGGCTGAGGCAGGTGCAGGAAAACCGAGACGGACGGGGGGCACCGTCTGACGTGAGAGCCAGCGTCTGCCACCCGAGGCCCTGAGCCCGGGGGGTGGCGGG